AGAAAGAAAGAAAGAAAGAAAGAAAGAAAGAAAGAAAGAAAGAAAGAAAAAGAAAGAAAGGCAGGCAGGCAGGCAGGCAGGCAGGCTGTGGTCAGAAACACCACATGTCTTGGATGTCCTGCCAATAAGGATCATGACTTATCCTTATGCAAGTATCCCAATGATTTTGCCAGCTTTAAATCAGGAGGCTCATCTTGCATAACAGCCTGGAAGTTTTCCCACCAGGCTCACTGGGGCTGCAAAGGGTTATCCCAGCAAGGCAGAGTTTTGCAGGATCCCAGTTTCAGAGTGCCTGTCCTTGTGCTCACAAACTAAAAAAGAGAACAAGTGAGATGAGATGTGGAACTTGGAAACTTGAAAACAGGCTTCTCTAGGTCAACAGGTAACACTGACATATTGGATTAGGAAGACAAATATTGCAGGGAGAAACTCTGATCACCAGAGATAAATAGGTTAAATATTATTTCCTTCGGGGTACTTCCACAAGAGGATTCTGTGCTAGTTTGTAAGCAGGTCTGGTTTTCTCTGATTCCATGAGATCAGCAGGGTTGGAGAACTCAGCTGATTTATCCCTAGCTCAGCTACTGGGTTGTTGAAATCATTGCAAAGCTAGGGGTGGTTTGTTTTCAGATACCATGGTTTACTTTTCCCATTAGTAGGAATTCTTGCCTCGCCCCTCTGGCTTCAGGTTCTGTATGTACCCTCTTGGCTGGATAACTGACAGCATCCCCTCTGTAGCCCAGGCAAAAAGAGAGGGGGTGAAATTGACTAGCATCTTGTCAGTTTCCCTCTACTATACAGTACTTTCTTCAACAGGGACAAGTCCATGGCAGTGTGCCAAGCTATTGTGGAGTTCTTGTTTTTATTTTCTTTCTTTTCTTGTGAAATAGAAAGGGAGTAAGATTTATTGCTGCAGGACCTACTACAAGTCAGGCAAACATATTTTGCTTCTTGTTCTCACTGCTATTATCTTCACTCCCCAAAGTTTTGTCAACTTGAAATGCTGAGGACCCAGAGGACATAACTGCCCTATCCTGCACAGCTACAAGTCCTGCAGCAGCAAAAATCCTTTCAAACCTACACTACACAAAAGGGAGAAACGAAAAAGGAAGGAAAACCCCAGAACAAGAAACTTGCAGGACACTTTTAAGGTGTTGAAGACACCAAAATCAATATTGACAAAATCCATCAATTTGATCTTCAGTTACTTCACTTGGTTGTCTGAGGGGCTGCAAAGTCATCAAGCCATTTCCCTTTACAAGACATGGAGCTTAGAAGCTGTTAATGGTGGTAGGGTCAGAGTTCACTTTAATGTGGAAATAAAACCCCAGCATCTAAACAACAACCTAGCTGTTGCAAATACACCTCTGCTGAACTGAAAATAAATCAGTTCAACTCTCCAACACTGCTGACATTATGAGAATACAAAGATCTGGAGATGCAGAATCCTTGCATGCCAATGCCCTCAGCATTTCAAGTTAGCAGAAATGAAGACAATCACAGATTGCTTTTAAACTGCTTCAGGGAGTTGAGGAAATAAAATAGTATATTGTGTGGAAACACCCTTGTTTCATCTGGGATCCAACTGATTTGAAGGACGCTTCAGGTAAATCCAGAAACATTTGTTCTGTTTCTAACAAGCTTGTGCTGCTGATCTTTTCTTCTAGTCTGGAGTGTCTGTAATGAGGTGGGGGCTGTAGAATGAACCACAAAGCAGGAGAGAAGCATTGCATTTTCTCCCTTTTATTTCTTTAACCCTTTCAAAGTTGCCAAGCTTCAGCAGTGCAGCACGCCCAGTGGAACTGTGGTTGATGCTGCTCCTCTGTGCTAGAGACCCTCCATGCTAATGAAATGAATAACCCTGGGGAAAAAAGCTGGTGGAAACAATTTCCTAGGCAGGTAGGAGCCAGAATATTAAGCTAAATAGTATCTGGCCTTTAGTGTTTCTCAACTTGGTTATGCTGCTGATAATACATTACTGTTATAAAGTGCAAACGTATGCACCTACAACTAAAATAAATGCTTTGGAAGTAAACTACAGGGGAGGGAGTATATCTTGTTTCCCTACATAGTCAAATCTTTCTACCCTCTTCAGCTGAAATATGAATAAATGTCTATGTTTAATTAAAAACTTATACTCATTAGGGTCTGTGTAAAATACATACTAAAACCATATCAAAACAAATTTGGAATTTTAAAACACCCACACCACTTCCTTTTGTATAAGTGATATTCTCAAGTCCGTGCCTACCACTGTCTGATCAGTGCCATTAAATCATTTAGAAACCAATTACGACATGCTGTTGGGATGAGTTAATTCTGGGTGGAGTTTCCTGTTGCTGTTCTCTTTTCAGTGGAAAGAGACAAAGTTCCCATGAGTGAGAGAATCCTGTAGATCAGCCATCTTCAACCTGATGCTCTGCAAATGGGTTGATACTACAAGTCCCATAATTCCTAGCCACTGGCTATAAATAACACCATTTTGCTGAATGAGAACCATGGAACGTATAGTTGGAAAATATGGATCAGAACAACATGGCTCCTAAAATTAAAAGTTATAGAAATACCTTGAGAAGCCAACTGGGAAATTTATTAAATCCTAGTGAGGCAGTATGGATCACTCAGAGGCCATGTATGCCCTTTGAGCCATAGGGTGTCCAAGCCTGATATTATTGAATGTTAGAGTAGAATCCAGGAAAGAAAACAAGGACAAAAAGGGTTTTGATGAGGTACAAACAAAACCAGCAGCTTGTAAAACCAGCAAGTTCTGTCTTGTGCTTTTTTATGTGTTTTTTGTATTGATTTTTGTTCTTAAATGTTTTTAAGTAAATTGCCCAGAGTCACTGGGAGTTGGGCAGCATATAAATTTAATAAATTTTTATTGTTGGTCGCACAGTCAGCCAGATGTTTAGAGTGGATTTGGCATTTTTATCCACCTATCAAGTCCTTCCCAAGGACCTGTGGTAGGCAGATGTTGTTGTTTGATGGTGTTAAAGATATTGTTGCAAGATGTAAGCTGTTCCAAATAAAGCTGCCTTTTGCAATTGTATTGTTGGTCGCACAGTCAGCCAGATGTTTAGAGTGGATTTGGCATTTTTATCCACCTATCAAGTCCTTCCCAAGGACCTGTGGTAGGCAGATGTTGTTGTTTGATGGTGTTAAAGATATTGTTGCAAGATGTAAGCTGTTCCAAATAAAGCTGCCTTTTGCAATTGACTAATGGTGATTTTGTCAATGCTGATGGTCTTCAGGTGGTACTCCAGATGTTTGGGGATTGCACCCAAAGTGCTTATTACTATTGGTACTATCTTTGATTTCTTTTGCCACAGTTGTTCTATTTCTATTTACAGGTCTTTGTACTATTCTTATTATTAATTTAGGGTAAGAGGGGGTGTTTACACAAATTGCATATTAAAGCCTTGTAATTCACATAGATCTCTATCCACCAGGTTGGATACAGCAAGGTGGCCACAGAGTCTGTATTTCTTTATTGCTCCCATCGCAGCCATGGACCTACCTTTCTTTTCTCCAGTAAAGGGTACAATATCTTCTCTGTCTTTGTGCTCCAATGCTTGTTTCTCCAAATATGACAATAGCCGCTCTCTGTCAAAAGGTCCCGTGGCAGGTTTACTGGTCTGATCTTTCTGTCGAAAGCCTGCTGGCAGAAGTGCATTCTGCCACAATAAGTGTGAGGAACAGAAGGAATTATTCAGTCAGGAGTTGAACATTTCCACAGTTTCTTTAATTTGACATCTAGCTCGTGTGCATGTTTGCTTCAGAGCAAACAGAACTGAAAAGTATATTGAACATGTTTTATGTTACCTAACTCAACAGGTACACACAAAAATGGCAGCTGCCAGAGGAATCTATATTTTTCCTCAGAAATGGCTTTGCATTTGGGGCACTTTTGAGGAAAAGTGGTAGATGCTACTGCTACACATGCTTCAGAGCTGATTTGGAAAAAGAGCTTCAGCGCTCAAGAGAGCTATTCATTAAAGCTGCAACATTTTTTTTTCAGACTTGAGTGGAAGTCTGAAAAAAACTAGGTTTCTTGAATGAATAGCAAAAAGATGCTTCTCTCCATACTATCTAAAGCACTTCTGAATCATTTTCAAAGCACACACAGGTCTAGTAGACACTAGACTACAGCCCCATTCCACCACCCACAATCGCAGCATGTATCTCCTGACTATCACTTTCTGCTGCTTCATGAGTCACTTCAGATATTAGCAATAGACCATCTTGTGTCTTCTGAATGTTTTAGACTGCAAATCCCACAACCTCTTGTTGCAGGCCACATTGATGGAGTTCATCCCATTTAGATTGTCTGTCCTTGCCTTATGTTATAACTGGGTTCGTACACCTCATTAAGCCAGTGCTGCTTTGTTTTTATTTTAAAACTATGAACTTAGGCATTATGTGCAATGGATTATGGTTTACTGCAATAGGCATTGTGGCTATAGTTAAAACTAACCATATCTTAGTTTAATACATGAATCTAGCTTTTATCTTTATTCCTTTGGGAGCTAATCTTGAAAATCAGAAATTTAGTTTCATTGTTTAGAATATACCTCTGGGTCTAGGTCATCAAGAACATTCTCTAGCTGTTTTAGTTCATCCTCAGAGAGTTTGTTGAGAATTTCATCTTCATTGATATTTTTGTATTTCTCCAACTCTTTCCGGAATGGCACTGACATGTCTTTCTCTCTCAATAACGTCTGTTGACGTTTACCTGTCAGTCATTCACAAGGTAGTCTTCCAGATCCCTGGGAAGAAAGAGAGATGGTCAGTTCTCTCTGATAATTTACACTCATTGCAGAAATGGCTTATTGGTTGCTATTTGCATGATATGATACAATAATATAATACATAATCTTAACATCTGCATGATGCTTTCAACAATTAAAAGTACTTCTCATATATTAGTTCACTGTAATCCTTATAACAACCCTGTAAGAATTATTATCCTTTATACTGTAGGTGACAGGAACTGAGGTTAAGAGTGAATATATTGCTTAAGACAACCAACTGAATTCACAACAAAATAAGATCTGAGCTGGGGACTCCCCAGTTCATCTCTCAGCACCTACCCACAATATTACACTAACTATAGTAGCTTTTCTCTCTTTTAGATCTTAGAAAGGAATTTATCTGGGGCCTGAAGAAAGCTGCAGTCCAATGTAAGATGGTTTTCTATTCCAGGAAATAATTTGGGAAGTTGGTAGAACAATTCATAGGACACTGAGAATGCCCAAACTAATCATAACAACAAATATGTAAAAATGTACCATTGTTGGGGGGGGAGCAGAAAAAGGGAAATAGCTGCTATTGGAGGGAGGCAGTTACTGTATATCAGGAGGTGCTGGGCTTTGTAGGCAGCTGCTCTTTTGTGAGACCACTAAACTCTAGTTAGTAGCCTCCCAGTGAAGTTCCCACAAGTCCTAGGCTAACTCTACCCACCTGAGGGGACCATTGGAAAAGAAAAGGTGCATTTTATTTTAGTAATATGGTCTGTATTCTGATATATTCTTTTATCTTTGGTTTTTTCCTGGCCCTGCCTCTTTGCTTGTCCTTTGACTTTGCTTGGCCCTTGTTCTGAGTGCTGGGTTGTCCTATGGTCCAACCTGACCCAGAATGACAGCCATTCACAGAGTGGAAAAATCTTTGAGATCAACTTTTTAGAACTGATTTTCCAGGGTACAAGCTGTAAGTTTTGTTAGGATACATTAATGATATCTTTAGATAAATCAAAGCAAGCTAGGCACAGAGATATAGGAGACCAGAGCATTAAACCACAAACCTCACCAACCTGCCATTCTAAACACAACTGGGAAGAATCCGTTGACCATTTCCGCACTGCTTAGCCAGTAATTGTTTACTTCAGTTAGGAAATTGCCATTTAATAATATGATTACCATCTTTCTTGGCTAATTGGATTCTCCACCAACAGCCTTATGGAAATAAACATTGTCCTGTCTTGTCTGAAAGATCTTGTCTGTAACATGATGCTCTGAAAGAGTTCATTCTCATTCTTATTCTCTGTTTCTCCCCCCCTTGCCACCCAATTGCTCACTTAGATAATGGGCTCATTGGAAGGAAGCAGAGGGAACTAGGATCACAAGGCACTCAACAAAAAGGGTTCTAATAAACCTGTGTGATTAGAGAAAGGCTTGCAAGTGTTCTTTAAGAGATTGGATTATCACACACAAACAAATCATTGCTGCTTTATAATGAGATGGACAGAATATGAGACATGACCCGTTTGTCTGTAATCTATAGGCATAAGGGCTATTTAGACAGCCCTTTCCTCAAGTCATCAAAATATTTCTCGTATATTACCTTATAATTTCATCTGCTACCAGCAGATGCCCTCAGCTAAAAGTCACACCAGCTGAATTTTCCCTAACCCAAACTCCTTCTATTGATGGCACGTACTTAACTATATCAGAGGACAAGAGAGGCAGCACTTCAAGTTTACAGAATTACAAACTTAGAATGATCTTGGAGGTCATCTAGTTCACTCCCTCCCCCCAACGGAGGTCCTACAATACACAATACAGGCACTGTAGGCATAAGCAAGGCACTCTGCAGTGCAAAATCCTTGGAAGGATTGAATTCTGTTGACAATGATGACAATAATACACAAGGAACACAGTCTGTTGTGAAATTTGCATGTGAAGACCTATTTCAGCCTCCCACCCCCACTCCATTAGGATATTTGTCTCCTGTGCAATGCCCACAGAAACAAGCCACTGATTTAATAACATGGAAGAGAGCACACTGCAATTCAAACTTCTCATGCACACTATCCATAGAATGAATGGGATCAGTGCATGAACACTACTGTAAAAGTTCATTTAACAAGAAAAGATGATGATGATGATGATGATGATGATGATGATGATGATGATGATGATGATGCAATACAAAGTTCTGCATGTGTAGAACTGGAATGAATGGGATTTACACAGGAGAATTTCTTTCCACACTTTTCTCAAAGTTAATTTCTCCATTCCAGCAACAGATAGAAAATATTTGCTGACCTGAAAACTATTTTGAGTTTGTGTATTCAGGTTTACAACAATGAGACAAGAAGTATTATAAATTTCTGTGAGAAAGAGATTCCTGATTTGTAATTGGGATGAGTTATGTCTCAAAATTTTTGGTTGCTTACTTGACCTTGCTTCTCAAACATGATTTCCTCCTAGGAAAAAAACATATTCTGAATGAGGGTATGAAATATTACCTTCACTCTGAATTAGCTTCATGATCTCAGCTAGTAACGTGGTTGTACTGGGTGGGGCATGATGTTACTTCACATGATTCTTAAACCATGTGTGGATTCCAGAACACTATATGTTACTCTTGGACCACTTCTAGAATCTCAGCATCATGTCAGAGCTCATCCATATGACTCCTACTTATCAATATTTGGTTTTCAGCATTTTCACCCCAATACTCCAATGAAACATAGATAACTCAAAGACATACTTTAAAATTCCCACAATACTTCTGGCAGAGTCATCCTGACAATAATCAATATAATTAATAATTATATAATTAATATATCAGCCTTCCTTGGAGGGAGTTAAAAATTGGCTCAAAGAACTATTCTCACTGCCCACTTTGAAAAGTTCCTGATTGGGATACCTAAATTCTGTTTTAGAAAACAGTCTTGAAAAACAATTTTATTGGACCCAATTTTTTTCACTGAAAATTGTTTAACCATGAAGATTCTGTCCTGTTAAAATAAATCAGTCAAACTGGGCCTTAATCCTTCTTGTTTTTCTGTTCATCTGCCAAAGATGTAATTTTAATTGTGCAGCTATTTATGTACTTCAAGCTCACACTTGCTTTGATCTAGAGAAGATTAAAGAGTTTAACATTAGAGGAAAGAGGGAAAAACTCCCACTTTGCTATGCAAAAAAGTGACAACAGAACTATACAAGAATATCTTTAAGGGGTTTGGTCTGTTGATAGAAACAACCTTTGAGTTACTTAATTGTTGCTTTAGCCCAACTGCAACGAAGGCTCTTGTTTGGCCATCCTCTTTGTGGAAACATGGAAAATACCTACAGAAAACAAGATTTTCTCTATGAACCTCCCAGAAGTGGCATCCCAACATCAAAAGCCACCCAACGAAATCACAAGTGGATGTTTGAGGACCACAACGCTTTCAGATGATCCCCAACTGTAACTCCCAGGTGACCTGCCAGCATGGGCTGTGATGAGAACAGCTGGGAGTTACTATTTAGCATCTTCTGGAAATCCAGAGGTCCTCAACTCCTAATTTGTAGCCAAGAATATGAAGAAAGTCAGAGTATAGTGATAGTCAAACTAGCCTTCTCTATCCTTGTGCTTTCCACATATGTCTGCATGCTAGTTCAGAAGGCTGGGAGTTCTGCACTCTCTCAAACCAGAGTAGGGAAGCTGGGTTAAAGGGTCAGAATTGGGCTGCATACATAGATTCAAATCCTCACTCACAGGATAACTTTGAACCAATCACTTATTCTTGGTCACTTGCCTTGCAAGGTTGTTGGAAAGAAAAAAAGAAAGTCCAAGAGAAACCATTCAGGCAGCAAAGGGCAGGAATACTTAATATTTCAAAGCCTGGGTTCATCCAAGGAAACTATTCTGCACAAGTAACTTGGTCTTTTTCAGGCAATCCTACACTCTCTCCTAGATGCTCCTTCCATAAAATGTTTCTCTTCAGAAAGAATTCCTGCTTCAGAAAGCGGTGAAGTCCACAAGGTCATACACTTACAATCACTTCTTTGAATTCTTCCAGGAGAAACTTTCCATAATGCTGTTTTGGATACATGTTTTTCTTTCAGCGATAACATTCCATGGGAACCAAGACTGGCTCTATAAAAATGAAGACACATCTTGAAGAATATATGACACCAATAGCTGTGATTCTCCCCCTAATTCTACCATTCTGCAATCATTTGATTTTAGAATGAGAAGAGATTTTAGAGGCTCTACTCTAACTCACTGATATGCAGAAATCTTGCTATAATGGCTTCCCTATAGATAGGCAAACTCTGCTTAAACCCCTCCCAAGGGAACCCATTACTTCTCAAAGCAGTTAGCTTCTGCATTGAACAACTTCTATTCTTTGGCCATATTTTTCTATTTAGCTAAACTAGTTATTTTTGCAATTCCAAGCCATTGTCTCTAGTCCTTTCCCCTGAAGCAACATTTAAAATTTTTCACAAGGATACAGTTAATTACCCATCCACTAAGAAGAGAAGAGAGCAGCATGCCAGAAATTATCTATAGCCTAGATGAGCAAAGAAAGTGCAAGCTTAGGGTAACATCTAAATACAACTTTTATCCCATGAACAATTCAACCATGGGTGTGCTCATAAAATGCTCAACATTCATTCTTCAGTCACAACTGATGGACATCTATGATTATTTGCAGGGCATCTGCAGGGTGTGGTCAGAAAAGTCAACATGATGGCTGCAATGATGCAGTTGAAGCTCTGCCTGTTTTTTGTCCTTGATGCACATAAAAAAAACAGGCAGAACTTTGATTTGAACCCTCATGGCTGCCATCTTAACTATTTTTTTACCATACCCTGCAGATACCCATAATTATTTGTATTGCTGTGAGTTTCCATGTTGATTTACAACCACTGTGAAAAGGCTGGCTCTCCCTTTAAAAGAGTACACTGTTAGGAAATAAGGACAGCAAACGAAGTAATAGATAAAGATGGAGGATGTGTTCGGAGGCATACCCACTGCTCAGAAATGGCCATATCAATCCATCTTCCAGGCACTTCCATGAAACTCTGAGGTATGATTGATAGATTAATCAATACAAGCTTGTGTTGGGCCTTAGTCAACAAATGAGGGTTATAACCAGCCATGCAGGCAGTGCATGTTTTCCTGTCCAGATTCCCAGGATTTGGTTTTTCTTTCTAATCTCTGTTAATTTAAGCTTTTAAAGTTTCTTTGAGCATGCATATTTTGGCAGACACATCTGGCATGGTTGCTTGCCTTGCTCTTAAAATGCATTGATTACACAACCGCAGCTGGATCATGGGGAGGAGCAGGCGGTGTCATCTGTGTATTTAGAGAGGAGACAATACCAGGCGGGCAACCAATTTATCCAACAAGTGAGTCTCTTTGAACTTTTTTTTAAAATCAAGTATTTTAATTGAATTCTCTGTACTAAAAAAAGTACTAAGAAAAATGAATTCATTTTTTTTAAAAAGGACACCCAATTCATAGAGAAATATATATACCAACTAGCCCTTTTCCCCTTAATCCTCTGTACACAGACTGGTGTCATATGCTGTAGTCAGCCACAGGTTGTTTTGACATGATTTACTGAATAAACCGCAACAGAGTCATACTACCTGCTAAGCCGAAAGCAAACAAGCCATGTTGGGCTTAGCAGGTGGTGTGAATCCTGAACATTGAGAGGTGATTCCAAAGGAGGCAGCTGTGTTAGACCACAAGCCTAGATGCAACTCCTTGGGATTGATCCTGGGGAAAAAAGCATTCTCAAAGTCTGAATGGGAGTATGGAATATTAAGGTCACTCTGACTTAGCTCCATGATCTCATCTAGTAACCAGATTCTACAGATTGGGACATGATGACACTTCAATAACTACCTGATTCTAAGGGTTGAGTCTTATGGTTCAGAAATCTGAGTAGAGACAGACAAGCTTGTGCTGTCCATCTTTTGAACCCCAACCTACAAGAAGAATCTTGGCTGCCATCTTAGACCTGCTTTCTAGAGAGCAAGAAGAACCTTTGAAAACCATAGGGCTCATTTTCACAGGGAAGAAAAGTCAACACATTGCACAAAGGAACACATTTCCCGCAGTGTGAGCATCTGCTGCAGGAAAGATCCATCCCCAAATGATCAACTGAGCTAAGAAAAATCGACTTTGCCTCCCCCCCCAACCCCGAAACTGCAGCCATCATTGTGGAAGGTGCGGGGGGGGGGGATTTCTCTTCTGCATTTGGCGCTCGGGCATTTCCCCTGGGAAATCGCCCAAATCCAGGGCCCTGCAACTGAAACTAAAGGCGCCCCCAAATAGCCATTGAGGAAGCAGCATATGAGGGGGCAGCTATAAAGAGGCCTGCAGTGGGACAGAGTACCTCCCTTCCCATCCGCCCCCCCCTCCTTACTATAGCTTTCAGTATTTTGTAACTAGGAGACAACTGTAGCATATCGATAAAGACGCTCATTTGCACAACATTTGGTGATTCTTGCAAGAAACGAGGCGGTCCTCCGATAGGTCCCCCACCCCACCCCCGCTCGTCCGCCCCTCCCCGGCAAACAGCAAACGCCCGGGGAGCGGGGCATCCAGGCCAGCCCTCGTGGCCCCGCCACCAGGCGAGGGCAGGGCGGCTCGGCAGGCGCGGGACCCAAGCTCACCGCCGCGCGCGCGCTCCTTGCAGGAGGCAGCCTGCGCGGGATGCCCTCGCCGCCTG